GAGCTGGTGGTGAAGATCGGGGACTTCGGGCTGGCCAAGGCCGTCCCCGAGGGCCACGAGTACTACCGGGTGCGGGAGGACGGGGACAGCCCCGTGTTCTGGTGAGCTCGGGGGCCGGGCCGGGCCGGGAGCGCTCCCGGGGCGCTCCGGAGGCTCCGGAATTGCCGCTGTTCCAGGTACGCCCCGGAGTGCCTCAGGGAGTCCAAGTTCTACTACGGGTCCGACGTGTGGTCCTTCGGGGTGACCCTCTACGAGCTCCTGACCCGCTGCGAGCCCGGGAACAGCCCCCCTGCCGTGAGGGACCGGGGATTCCCGGGGAATCTGGGGAGGGAGGCTCGGGGTTTGGGGTCTCTCCAAGGTCGGGGGGTCACTGGGATTGGGGCTCCAAGGTTTGGGGGTCACCAGGATTGGGATCTCCAAGGCTGGGGGGTCACTGGGATTGGGGCTCCAAGGTTGGGGGGTCACCAGGATTGGGGGCTCCAAGGTTGGGACACTCCAGGTTTGGGGATTCCCAGGGTCAGGGATCCCCAGGATTGGGGTCTCCAAGGTTGGGATACTCCAGGTTTGGGGATTCCCAAGGTCAGGGATCCCCAGGATTGGGGTCTCCAAGGTTGGGGGGCCCCCGGTTTGGGGATTCCCAAGGTCAGGGATCCCCAGGATTGGGGTCTCCAAGGTTGGGATACTCCAGGTTTGGGGATTCCCGGGGTCAGGGATCCCCAGGATTGGGGTCTCCAAGGACCTTGGAGGCCCAGGTGGGATTTCAGTGGGTTTTTTCCCTGTCAGAAATTCCTGGAGCTGATCGGAGCCACCCAAGGGCAGATGACGGTGCTGAGGTTGGTGGAGCTCCTGGAGAGGGGGAAGAGGCTCCCGATCCCGAAGGATTGTCCGTGTGAGGTGGGAAAGGGAGGGAGGGAAGGGAAGGGGGAGGGAAACAGGGAATGGGGAGGGAAGGGGAAGAGTGAGAGGGGAGAGGAGGAAAAATAGGGAAGAGAAAAATGGGGAAGGAAGGGGGAGAGGAGAAAAACAGGAAGGAGGAAAAATGGGAAAGAGGAAAAGGGGAGAGGGAAAGAAAAGTGGGAGGGGAAAAAGTGGGAAGAGGGAAATTGGGAAGGGCTTCACATTCCTGCAGGGAGGAGGAGGGAAGGGGGAAGTTGGGGGCCCTTTTCCAGGATATTTCCCTGTTTTCCACCCCTGTTTCCCCCCCAGATTTACCGGCTGATGAAGAACTGCTGGGAAGCAGAAGCTTCTTTCCGCCCCTCCTTCCACAACCTCATCCCAATCCTCAGGAACTTCCAGGAAAAATACCGGGCTCAGGCCCCCTCCGTCTTCAACCTCTGCTGAGACCCCCCAAAATTCCACGGACCGGGGGGAAAACACCCCCAAAACTCCATGGATTGGAGGGAGACCCCCCCCCAAAAAAATGGAGTGGAAAGACACCCCTAAAAATTCCATGGAAGGGGAAGGACACAAAAAAAAATTCATGGATGAGGGGAAAGACACTCAACAGATTGCATGGACTGGGGAAGAACACCCCAAAAAATGCCCTGGATGGGGGAAAACACCCCCAAAAAATTCCATGGAGAGGTGGAGACACCCTAAAAATGCCCTGGATGGGGGAAAACACCCCCAAAAATTCCATGGACTGGGGGAAGGACACCCCTAAAAATTCCATGGATTGAGGAAAGAACCCAAAAAATTCCAAGGAGGGGGGGAAACACCCCTGGGTGGGGCACACGGACTCTGGATTCCCGTTTTCCCGGCAGGATGAGGAAATTCCGGGATGTGGAGACGGAGCAGCACCGAGGAGGGGGGATCCTCCCCCTCGAAAAATTCCAGATATTTCCCCCCCAAAATGCCAAACACTGTGAATGAGACTGTGGGGACGAGGATTTCTGGGAGCAGGACGTGGATTTCTGGGCGTGATTTATGGATTTACGGAATTCTGGCCTTATTCCCGA